TTTAGGATTTAGCGTTTAGGGTTTAGGATTCAGGGTTTAGTGTTTAGGATTTAGGGTTTAAGGTTTAGGATTTAGGGCTTAGGGCTTAGGGTTTAGGCTTTAGGATTTAGGGTTTAGGATTTAGGGTTAAGGGCTTTGGCGGCTTTAGGGTTCAGGGTCTTAGGCCCTAAACCCTCAACCCCAAAAGCTTTGCCCGAACATCACCATCTAGTCCGAACAGGCTTTCAAGGCTTGGATAGGTTTAGGGTTTAGGGTTTAGTGTTTAGGGTTTAGGGTTTGGAGAAGTCTTCTGCGGAATAGTGTTTCCTGTGGTTCGAGACAGGACCCTAGATTTACTCGTTGCTCTTGTGGTGCTACTTTAAATTACGGAGGCCTGATGGCTTGTACTTGCTTCCAGAGGCATTTGGATTTGGATGGGGTTCTAGTGTGTACTAATGTATACTTGCCAAAGACTAGAGGGCACATCTTCCCTAAACCGAAAACCCTAAACCCTAAACCCTAAACCGAAAACCCTAAACGCTGTACTAATTATTCAGACTCCTATATACTCGGACATCGGTCGATGGCTCAAGCATCTTGCTGGTCAATTGACCGCCTGTGAATGCAAATAGTATTAGGGTTCAGGGGTTAGGGTTTAGGGCTTATAGGGTTTATAGGGTTTACAGGGTTTATAGGGCTTATAGGGTTTATAGGGTTTAGGGGTTAAGGGTTGGACTGGAACCTGAATGATCCGACCTTTCGGCGATAGAAGCAAACAAAACAGCAGAAACACTACTTACACACAGAAAATGCAAGGAATAATCATTCCCGAGCCGCTCGCAGAAACCGAAGGAAGCGTGTAGTTGTTGCAGACTCGCCTACCGTGTCATCTACGGCACCGAACTCCAGCACGATGTCCTGGCGGGTCGTACACATTGCCTCACAAGTTCGGCTTGAAAGTGCGTCTGAAAAAGCTTTATAGGCTTCTGGGCGTTGACTGGGTATAATGGGAAATTCGCAGGGATGTCTTGCAGCACCATGTCAGTTCCTAGTGTCACGCCACCCTCCCGGAGTCCGTTTTCAATCGTACTATAGCTTTCTAAAATAGGGGTTTATGGTTGGCTTTGGGGATTTATGGTCGATGTGGCTTGAAGTTTCTGCCGAATGCCATGGATCTTTCGCACCACCTCAAGCACTACTTGTTCAGGGCTTAAGGTTTAGGTATTGATTGCCCCCCCCTCCCGGTCCATGACAGTGACGCCGACATCGATGAAAAACCATGTCTGCAGGTAATGCCGGCAAATCTTCCGGCGGTCTGTAATCAGATGTCCCTTGTGGAGCAGGCCCGTCACGAAGCCGAGGAAGATGTCCGCAACCCAATATACCTTTGTTTGTTACTCTTTGGGGCGAAGGGTTCAGAGTGTGGAGCTCAGATTAGAGGGTTGGGCACAGTATTGGGTACTACTTCTTTAAGCGTCTGAAGTAAGGCCCGTTACAACTATACCCGGGTGTTCTAGGGGATGAGAACTCCGCTAGCTCATGTGCAACTGTAGTAACAAAGGTTGAGGACTTGGGCTTGGACCTGCAACAAGCCCAATAACCTAGGAACTTGATTTAAAAAACCCCTGGTACCATAAGGACTCGTATTCAGGCCGGTAGAAAAAACATGGCGTTGCTAACCACGTTAATACGTCAATAAGCGTCCAGGCTGAAGTGTGTGTGTGTGGGTGTTCGTCCTAGTGTGTGTGTATATATATATATATATGAGAGAGGAACCTCTAGGCTCTAGGGTATATTTAGCGCCTTGTTTCCTCCAGATATTTCAATATTTCAATTATTTTAATTGTTTTGGATAGCGCGAGAACCAAAATAATTGAAATAATTCAAATACCCAGACCGATTTGAATTATTTTACTTATTTTGATTATTTTAGGGCCCCCGAGATGCGAAATAATTAAAATAATTAAAATAAATCGTCCTTAAGCAAGGGAAGCCCAAAACCCAGGGATT